TGGCACTGGTGGCGTTTGTTTCTGTACCTTTCAGGCCTTTTAGCTCTCTAATGTCAGCCTGATCACCTTTGTTACACCCAGTTCCTGAAGCCTGGGGCTTCTAGAAATGTCAGATTAAAGTCCCCCTGTGGTCATTTGATTCCAGGAGTTTGGGAGCTGCCAGGATTTCCAGCATAAGCACAGGAGCTGGCAGCTCGCTGGGGTTACTGTGGGGCAGCCCTAGAATGTTCCTAAAAATAACCCATGGCCCTGGTGTCCTTATTAGAGCATAAATACCTATTCCAGTGAGCCACCTGCAAGACATCTCAGACCAGCAAAGCTCCAGCACAGCGTTACTGGGCAGGGAATTTTTAGAAGCCAACACAAAGTCATTTCCTTCCACTTTCACATCAGTGTGTTTGGATACTGATTTCTCTTCTTGTTTTCAAGGAAGCAAAAGTTCCTCTCTCATACTTGGGGTTTGTTTCCAAACCTGAAGCAGAACAATTTTTCTTTGTGTGTCTTGTGCTGCTCCTGGCAGAGCCTGTGGGAGAGAGCTGCTTTTTTAGGAGGATGAACACTGAACACTCAAACCAAGACACCCCCAAATCACCTGCTGGATCTGCAGGCAAGGCAAGGCCTGCTAATCCTGACAGACTCCAAAAATGCTTTGCTGCCCAGCAGTTGATAATCCAGACCCCAAAGCAGAAGGGTTTGAGTGTGAAGTTTCTGCACATGCTGTGCTTCATCAGGAATCTCTTTTGTTCCCCATGGGAAACCAGCAGCTTGCTGAAGGCTGAGCTGCATGTCTAACACTGTTCTCTTAACTTCTAGGTCTGGCTTCCAATGTGGTTCCCATGTTCCTTGGGGAAATGTCCCCCAAAAACCTGAGAGGAGCCATTGGGGTGGTCCCACAGCTCTTCATCACCATTGGCATCCTTGCAGCTCAGATCCTCGGCCTCAACAGCATCCTTGGGAATGCCAAAGGTAAAGCTCTGGCTCAGGACCCCTCTGTGGCTCCACAGGGGAGGATTTCTCTCAGCTGATGTCTTGTGGCCTTGCTGCAGGGTGGCCTGTGCTGCTGGGGCTCACTGGCATCCCATCCCTGATCCAGCTCCTGACACTGCCCTTCTTCCCTGAGAGCCCCAGGTACCTGCTCATCCAAAAGGGCAACGAGGAGCAGGCACGGAAAGGTACAGCCCACGATGGGATAATGGGATAATGGGATAGGATGGGTCTGGGGAGGTGAGATGGGATGGGATAATGAGATAATGGGATGGGATGGGATGGATCTGTGGGACACAGCTGACAGCAGCAGAGGGTGAAGCTCTGCACTGCTGTGCTGCTGGTGGGTGGAATTCTCAGAACTCTGCTCCTTTCCCTGCGTGTGTGGGTCCCCAGGTGCCCAGCACTGCTGCCCAGGGTCACACACTGGTCTGCACAGCTCTGTGCAGTCCTGGGGCTCACCACTCCCCTGCTGTCCCCACCAGCTCTGCAGAGGCTGAGGGGCCGGGAGGACGTGGATGACGAGATCCAGGAGATGTACCAGGAGGACCGCTCAGAGAAGGAGGAGGGGCAGTTCTCTGTGCTCAGCCTCTTCACCTTCAGGGGCCTGAGGTGGCAGCTCATCTCCATCATCGTCATGATGGCAGGCCAGCAGCTCTCGGGGGTCAATGGGGTGAGTGCAAACAGGGGGTGCAGCTCCAGAGGGGGTGATATCAGGGGCAGTGCTGGCACAGCAAAGCTGGCAGTGCCCCTTCACCCAGGACACTCCCAGTGGGGTGAGTCAAGCCTGGCCAGTCCCAAATCCATGGACAAGGTACAGGGTCAGCTGCCCTGTTAATGATAATTGGAATGGTTTCGAGTGCAGGGCTTGTGCCCAGATCCAAAAACCAGTGTCTGCAGAAATGGACAAATTCCACCCTCAGGCTTCTGTGCACCCTGGCAGGATTGAAAGCAGCCAGAAGGGGGATTCCCACGCTGAGCCTCAGGCCAGGTTCTAACCCAGCTGTGCTGTGTGCAGGTGTTCTACTATGCAGACAGAATCTTCGAGTCAGCAGGGGTGCAGAGCAGCAGCATCCAGTACGTCACCGTGTCCATCGGTGCCATCAACGTTGTCATGACCTTGCTGGCTGTAAGTTTGGGCTGGGGCTCGCTCAGTTCTGACTTGCCCACTCTCCCCTCCCCCTGTTTAACTCAGCCTGTGCTCATGGGATCCTACAGTCACAGAATGGTTTGGGTTGGAAGGGACCCTAAAGATCATCTCAGCCCAAAAGGTTTCCACTAGAGCCTTATTTGCACACACTGGGAGATGCTTTCCATGACAGATCCCTTGGAGAAAAACATCTGCCACAATTGCTGAGCCCCTCGTGTCTCCCCCTCTCCCCTCTCCTGTCTCTTCCAGGTTTTCATTGTGGAGTCCCTGGGGAGGAGGATCCTTCTCCTGGCTGGCTTTTTGCTGTGCTCTGCCTCCTGTGCAATCTTAACTCTGGCCCTCAATCTCCAGGTATGGATGGGTGGCCCAGGTGGTCCTGCCACCATTTCTGGGCTTTCCAGGGAACAGGCATTGGAATATTTTGAGGACAAAATACACCCTGGGGAGGAGGGGACAGCACGAAAGGTCTCTGTTGCATATCTCCCTTAAAGAAAGGCAGGGAAAGCTGTGATCCTGCTTTCCTGGGTGCTCCTCCCAGGATGTCACAGTCCCAGCTCCTGCTGCATCCCTTTGGCACCCAGGCTGTGGTTCTGTGTCTGAAGGGTGCCACAGCCTTTAAATGCCTTCAGATCTCACTGCCAACAGTGCCCTGAGTGTGCTGGTGATGTCCAGACAAGAACCACATCTAACCTGTGCTTCAATCCTCACAGACCACTGTCTCCTGGATGTCCTACCTCAGCATAGTCTGTGTCATTGCCTACATCATTGGCCACGCCATCGGACCCAGTAAGTGTCCCCAGCCTGCCCCTCGAGCTGGGCAGAGCCAGGTGTTGTGCTCAATTCCCAACCAAAACCTTGGTGGAGCTCATCCAGGGAGGCTGAATTTCATCTCTGTGTGGCCATGCCCTGTGCAAGTCATTTTTCTTTAAATGTAATCCTTGTTTGATTTACTGGGTGCTCCTAAACGCTGATAGTTAGAAACCAGTGAAATGAGCAGTTTAATGAGGAATTCAGAGTGAGGGGGTTGCCTTTGGGATTCCCTGACCCTGTGGCTGCCTTGCAGGTCCCATTCCTGCTGTGATGATCACAGAGATGTTCCTGCAGTCGTCCCGACCCGCGGCGTTCATGGTGGGGGGCTCTGTGCACTGGCTGAGCAACTTCACTGTGGGGCTGGTGTTCCTCTACATGGAGGTAAGGACCCACCACGGGGCAAATCCTGGGCTGGGAATCAGCCTCTTCACCCCTGAGCTCTCACAGAGAGGCTCTGAGGAGCTGTAAATGCTCTTGTTGGTTCTCAGAACCTGTCTGTGGGATTGTGTTAAGGGCAAGAGACTTGTTTTAAATGTTCCTCAGCATTTTCTCATCACACCTGGCTGTTGTTAAGATTTTAAAATAAACCAGTTTGATTGCCAGGTCTCATCCTGAGCTCAGGAGCTTGGAAAAGATGGCAAATTCCCCATCTTCCACTGCCTCGGGGATGTGCCTCGGGGGGACAATTTTAGCTTCTGAAATCAGGGTGCCCCCAGCAGCAGTGACCCATAAACTGCTGCAGTCCCTGACTTTCATTTGAGTTATGGGGCAGACCCTCAGCCTCCTTTCCCAGTAAGTGTCCAATATTAAACCCAAGGTGGTGGTTTGAGAAGACAGAATCTAAAACCACCCAAATTTTGAGTTGTTCAGCTTTAAATAAAAGCACCTGATTGTGGCTGCATTTTCCATAGCCAGTGCAGGGTGCAGCACACCCAGGGCAGGTAAATCCCACCTGGAATGTTCCCCTGACCTCTGCTCTCTCCTGTCACTGCTCTAGGCTGGGCTGGGGCCCTACAGCTTCCTCATCTTCTGTGCCATCTGTGTCACCACCATGCTTTACATCTTCTTTGTTGTTCCTGAGACCAAGAATAAAACCTTCATGGAAATCAACAGGATCATGGCCAAGAGGAACAAAGTGGAGATTCAGGAGAGCAAAGAGCTTAAAGATTCCTACCCCCCGGAGAAGCAGGAGGAGAAGAAAGCACTGTCCAGCAGTGAGATGTGACCCAGCTGTGCTTGCCTGACAGCATCTGTTCAGCAGGAAAACAAATACAGGGATTCCTCCTCTGATGCTGACCTGACCATCACAGAACTGCTAAGGCTGGAAAAGACATTTAAGATCAAATCCAACTGCAAACCTAATGCTGCCAAGCCCTCCTGTTGTTCCAAAGAAAGGGAAATGTCCAAGTAGCTGATGGCACGAGGTGATGTGTGTCCCTGGTGTCCTGGTGACACATCCTGGGGGACACAAGCAGCCCTGGGCTGGCTGTGGGGCAGTCGTGTGCAAGGAGTGCACTGAACTCCTCTGAGGAACTCTCACGTGTGTGTTTGAGGATCCAGCAAGGGGGAATTAAATTTCATTTGGTATATCAGTGTGCTGCTCTCTGTTTTGAAAAAAGCAGAATTGTTGAACAGCTTGGCATGGATTTTGTGTAGTAGATGGAGAATCCTTCACATAATTTACTTTAACCTTAGAAAATGAGTTTATATATACAATATATCAGTGTTGAAAAAGGAGCTGTTTCTATGCTCTGTCTCTACATCCACTACAGAAAAGAAGGCAAAGTTGTGGCACAGGCCAAGGCACAGGGAGTGCACAGGACCTGTGCTAGGACCTGCCCTGCCTGAGCTCCACAGCCACTCTCCTGTGGGACAGGCAAGGGAAGGGGTGGTGACAAACAGAAGGAGGGACAAGCAGGGACGATGGTGAGAAACTGAGATTGGGTGAGGGATGGGAGAGAAACTTTATTTGAGAGAGCAGCTCTTTGGCATGGAAAAAAAAATCTATATATGGGGGTCTAAATCAACCCCCTGGAAAGGATGTAACAACCCAGGGTGCAGATCCTGCAGTTCTCTGCTCTTATCTCACTGATGGAGGTTTTGGTCTCCTGGAGCACCAGGGGGTGCACAGTGAGCCGAGCAGGAGGAGGAACAAGCACACAACCTGAGTTTTTCTCAGCTTTCCCAACAAAGAGTTGGGATTCCCCTGATGCCCCCAGAGCAGCAGCCTGTGCTCAGTGGCAGCTGGTGTCAGGCTGCAGGAGCACCCCCCCAAGCAGGGCCATGGGGGTTTGTCCCCAGGCTATGACATCCCCCGTGGGCTGCCCCTCTCTGCACAGAGCCAGAGCCCGAATCTCTGCAGAGCTGAGCACTCGGCTCCACAGGTTCACCTGGCTCATCCACCCTGCAAAGCCATTGGAGAAGGTGCCAAGCAGAGCATCCCTGTCCTTACCAAGGACCAGCGTCCCCCCAGCCTGGCTCACGTACCCCTGCTGGATGCTCTTTGCTTTGCCAGCTGCCCCGTTGAGCCACAGGTTGGCTGTGCCCTCCTGGGAGCCCCAGGTGACACAGTGGTGCAGCCAGCCCCCAGCCTCGTGCTGCAGGGGGAAGCTCAGGAAGTGTCCTCCGACCCACAGCCCCAGCTCTGTGCCCACTGTCACCACCAGCTCGTGGTCGCTCTCCCCAGTGGAGTAGGACAGGATGGTCTGGCTGCCAATGGGCTGGGCTCTGCTCCAGAAACACAGGGTGAAGGCTTGGAGAGACACAGCACAGAGGGGATGGACCTCCACAAAGCTCTCAATGTTCTCCACAGGGAAGTAGAAAGCTGGAAAGGTGCTGGGTTTTGTACCTGAAATAATCAAAAAAGCCAGCATTTACATGTGCTGTAAGTAAGGCCAAATCCTGGAGAATAACACCCACAGAACTGCTAGGTCTGTGTAGTCTGAGTTCCCAGTTACTGCTGTGTGTTGTGCCAGCAGGGAAGAGGTTTGAAATGATGAAAAGCTGAGTTGAGCTCCCCCACCCAAATGTTTGGGAAAATCATGTTTTTCCCTCCTCTCTTCTCATGCTGTGTAAAATAGAGGTGATGATTGTTTATCGTGGGGGAACTGAGCTGAAATTTTTCCACTGTGTGTAAAAATGTGGCAGGAGAGAGCAGCAGCTACTGTGGGAGTAGCTGGCTTAGGGCTGGCCTTGATGGTGAAGGATTTCCATGGGACAAAATCCTACCTGTGTGTGCCAGCACCAAACCTGGCAATGGTTTGGGCCACCAAGGCCAGCAGGGTAATGGGCTCTTCATGCTCACAAGGTGAGCTGGGCTCAGCCTGTGTTTCTTACCTGTGTGGCTCAGTCCATTCAGCAGCTCTGTCTTCAGGTCCTGGAGCTGCATGTGGATTTGGTCCAGCCTGAGGGTGAATTCCTCTGGAGGGCACTGTGCTGGAGCAACAGACAGCTCAGTTTACAGCAGGCTGGCACCCACACGTGGCAGAAGCTTCTGGTCTGAGCAAAAGCTGTGTTTTAAAACGCAGCTCCTCTCCCGTGTGTGGGGCCTGGCTGCCCAGCCAGAGCTGTTCTCACACACACCAGACACACCTGAGGCTCCTGACGTGGTGCCAGGGAGCAGCAGCCGCCCTGGGGGCTGGCACACACCTGAACCCAGGGGAGGCACAGGGGACACCAACACCTGAGCAGGGCCGGGGGCTCCCAGCCATCCAACCCCAAGGATTCCCAGTGTCACCCCTGCCCCGAGGGTCCCCGGGGGTCCCCTGGGCCTTACCCTGGGCACGCTGGGCTCTGAAGGAAGCCTCGACCACGCGGCCCTGCAGCGGCTGCGTGTGCCGGTAATCATTGCGCAGCGTGCGGTTGTGCCGGTCCAGCAGGGTGTTCTCCAGGAGCTGGATCTGGGACGGGGACGTGACACAGAGACGGGCAAAGGGACAGCACACAGGACATTGGGACACCAACCCCGACCCCAAAACCATCGCCCGGCACCGCCCGGAGCCCCAAAACCATCGCCCGGCACCGCCTGTAACCCGAAAGGCGTTCCCCGGCCATGTGACACCCCCCGGGGTCACGTTTCTCCCGCTTCCCGGCCACGGGAGCCCCCCGCGATCGTCTGTTCCCCGAGCATCATGTGGCCTCGAGTTCCCGGCTACCACAGCCCGCCAGGGACCGCGTGGCCGCCACTTCCGCGCCACGTTACGCCCGGCCGCGACTTCCGGGTCGTGTGGGCTGTGACGTCATTTGGCCCCGCCCCTCCGTGGCTACGTCACCGCTCCCCGCGTCCGTCCCCCGAGCTCGGTGTGTGAGGGAGCGCTGAGGGCAGCGCTGAGGGCAGCGCTGAGGGCAGCGCTGCTCCCGCCGGCCCCGCCGCACCGGGAGGGAAGCCGGCACTGACCTGGGTGTGCGACAGCACAACGGGCGAGTGGAAAATGGTCCAGATGACGCTCTCGGAGCACGGGGGCGTGGTCAGGGAGCCCTGGTACCTGTAGAAGTGCGAGAGGTTTTCTGGCAGCATGGCTTGGACGTCCAGAGAACTGAGCGTTGTTGATTGACCTTCAAAGGAAGCACAGATGATATCGGAAGTTAAAGGGGAGGGAAGAGAGGGGGAAAAAAAGGGCTGTTGGAGCTGGAAATCCCTCTGCCCAGAGCACCGGCTCATCACACCTTTGGTGCAACTGGGTGGAGATGGAGAGGCCCGAGCGGCCCTTCGTGGGTCTGTGGCAGCTCTCTGCCCGTCCTGGGGGTGCTGCCAGGAGCATCGGGGGCTGTGCAGGCTGCAGGACGCTGATATTCGGTGCTGCACAGAGCCCCAGGAGTGCATTTATTGCTGCCCTGGGCTGGGGGTGCTGTGCCAGCTCTTCCCAGTGTGTTCTCACAGGCTGGGGGGGTATCAGGACAGGGAAAGGCATTCCCAGGCTTACCTGCAAACCTGATCCTTGCCAGTTTGGAAATGAATTCGCTGTAGTAGGTGTTCTCAAAGTGCCCATCCTAAACACAGCACAGGCCCTTGATCAAAAGGTGTGACCTGCCTGTCCTGCTAATCAGGTGGGGGGGCAAAGAAAACAAACACCACACATCTCCTGATGGGCTGGACAGTGCCAGCCATGGTCAGGTTTGTACAGCTTGGGTAGAATAGTGAGGATTCTTTTTTACTGCTTTTAAATCCACACTGAATCAAATATCTCCCAGTGGCAAAGCAGAGCAAGGCTTGGAGGCACAGCTGCCACACCTGATATTCTTATATATGGGATATATATGTATATATATATATATCTAAATACTACTTGTGGGGCAGTTTTTTTAGGTATTGGCTGGTGTTGTGTGAAGCCCAGGGGAAGCAGCAGAGCCTCCTAAAAGGGTGCCAGACCCCATCTCTTGGCACAGCTGTACAAACCTGGCTGTGTCTGAGGGAGGTTTCAGCTCAGCCATGCCCCCTGTCCCCAGGCTGGCTCACACCTACCGTGTACAGGAAGGCCAGCACAGCCAGCCCCTGGGGCTTGTCTTTGGCTTCTTCAAAGCTGGAGTAGTTAGAGTTGTAGTGGACAATGTGCAGCTGTGGGACAGAGATGGGTTCCCTTAGCAAGAAGTGATGAATGGCTTTGGGTGTTCAGAGGGACAGGCTGAAGGGACAGTCACCACCCCAATTCCTGCTCTTTGTGCCTTGTACCAGGCCCAAGGGACCTTTGGTTTAACAGGTTTGTGGTGGCTGTGGGGGAACAGTTCCACCTCTGAAGGACACGAGTGCTCTCTTGCCATGGCTTTTCTTGGAGCCTTCTACACCAGCACCCTCAGGCTCATCCCTCCCACTGCACCAACCACCAGCCCTGTGGGATCCCTGCTTTCCCCCTCGCCTGTGCACTGCTCCCTGCAGGCTCTGTGGGAAGCAGCCTCCAATTTCCCAGAGCACAGGCCCAGCCGCCCTCCCTCCCTCCGTGCAGCCTGTGGCACACAGCCCTCACCTCGGCGAAGTAACGCATGCCATCGATGGTGTGCTCCGAGCCACTGCTCTCCAGCTCCAGCCCACCCCAGTGCAGGTGCATCTGCACTGCTCTGTACAGGCCTGGCAGCCCTCGGGAGATCCTCATGCTGGAGGGCAAATCGATCTGGACTGGAAAAGGACAGCGTTGGAGGCAGCGCTGGCTGCAGTCCCTGTCGTGGTTCCTGCAGTGCTGGGGGCACCTCCTGGGATGAGCAGGCACAGTCACCACCCCAGTGTGGGGGGGAAACAGTGAAGTTTAAAGCTGGGTGTGCTTAAAACCTTTCCTGGGCACACCAGGACTGGGCACTCCCAGCTGTGCCTGCAGCCCCTTCTCCCCTGAGCATCTCTGCTTTGGCATTAACGAAAGCTTCAGTGCTCAGCGCTCACTCAGCACAGCACATCTGGAACACGGCTGTTAACCATTTCCTTCCCAAGGCAGAAAAGGGGAATTGGAACCATCACAGTGAGTGGCCTCCTCTGTCACCTCAATTCCCATCGAGGCCCAGCCATCCTGGGATTGCCCTGCAGGTTTGGAAAGACTGAAATTGCTGAAGGATTTGTGGAGACAAAGCTCTTTTCTTCTCCTTGCCAAGGAGAAGTCACAAACCCTTTGTCTTCCTGCTAACTCACTGCCAGAAAACATAGATTATGTTAATAAATCTAGGAGTGAAAGTGGGGAATTGCCTCATCTTAATCAAAGACCCCAGCATGTTATAAAAACTAGAAACTATCCTTGCAAAATGCAACACAACATATTATTAATTAGTCATAGTTTGGGTTTCTGAGGAGTTTCTTTGGTTTGTGAACTGTTTATAGACAGACACGATGAAGGCATGTCTTCTTTTAATATCCCAAAGGCTCTAGAGTGGGAGGGATAAAATAATCTACCTTTTTCATAAGTTCCCTGCTGACTGCCTTCCATAATGAGGGTTATTTACTTCAAGTACCTCACCGGGGTTTCTACTTCCTCCAAAACACAGCCAGGGAATTGCGTTGTGAGTTTGTAACAAGCTTAAGGCCCCTCTAAGATATTCCAGGCAAATATTTGCTACAAGCACAAGGCAGGGAGTAGCCAGGTTTGCTTCTCCCCACGTGGAGTGTGAGTGGGGAGTGTGAGCTGGCAGTGGAGAATCAGCTGGGGCTGAGCAGGGTGAGTCACTGAGCCTGCCCCAGCATCCCTGCCTGCACAGATTGGCTCTGTCCATCCCTGCCATGCACACACTGGGCTCTGTCCATCCCTGTCCTGCACACACACACTGGGCTCTGTCCATCCCTGTCCTGCACACACACACTGGGCTCTGTCCATCCCTGCCCTGCAGGGACAGCACACACAGCCTGCCTGCCTGCCCAGCTCTGGCCCCTGAGGTAACCAGGGACACACTTGAGGTCCCCTGAATTAAATCTCCTCCTGGAGGAAGGTGCACACATGGATGACATTTTAATTTTTCAGATCTGTGCTTGTCCTCTTTAAAACAAAAAGAAGGGTGCAAATACAAAAGGCTTTGTTAACCCAAGGCTCAGTGTGTGAGCCACTCACACCACAGCAAGCAGGCATTTTCAGCTGGGATTTAGCCTGGTTTATTCACAGAATAAATGAACCTGGTTTCCTGAGTGAGACATTTGGGGTTTGGCTCTGAGAGCCTGTAAGGAGAGTGCTGCTGATAAATCCCTCTCCTGTCCCTTTCAGATCTGCTGAGTGTTTTCCCTGAGAGATTCTGCTGCCCTGTCCCATCTCACTGAAGCCAGTAGAAAAGGCCAGCCTGACTCACAGGAGCTGTCAATAGGGACAGTCGTTTGTCTTTGTGCTTTAGGAAACTGCCCGGCACCAGAAAATCATTGTTGGGAAGTTAACAAAAGAATGGACAAATACACACATGCAGTCAAAAAAAGCTAAACCTGCAAGAATTAATGTCTAGGCAGGCAGGGCTGTCAGTAGTGCTGACAGAGAGCTCCGGGCTGAACGCTGAGTTTGTGTGGGCCACACAAAAGGAGTTACAGTTTTCAGGAACACAATCACAACAATCTTCTTCTGCTGGCACTGTCCTCACCCCACTGCCCTGCCCTCACATGTATTTTTTTTCTCTCTCTTTACTGCAGGCAGGAAGAAAAAGCTGCTGTGGAGGACTCCAGAGCTGACAGCTTTATGTGCCCAAGACCTTCCCAAAACCTCTCACACTGTCTCCCCTGCAGCCATCAGAAAGTTCTCTCACTGCTCATCTGTAGTCCAAAGGCATCATCCCGACAGAACCAGCTGATGAATTATTTAGGCAATGAATTACAGATTGCAGCAGGGGAGTCTGGGATCTCCTCAATTGTAAGCATTGCCCTGAAACCGTGTAGCCAAAGGCTGAGCTTTTAACATGTGCTGTATTTCAGTTCCTCTCCTGAGCCCCAAAATACTTCTGGCTCTGAGAGGGGGATCCTCCTGTGTTGTACTGGGTGACCTACATCCAACCAAACCTGGGATGGAGAGGTTTCCATTCCTGTCACTTCTGATTAATGCACAGGCCACCAGATGCATTTTCCTGAATGCAGAGGAGTCAGCGTGCCCCAAATTCCACTCAGTGCTGCACTCCTGCTGTCTTGCAGCATATTAAAGGAAAGGGTCAATCTGGAATCCTCCTGCTGCATTTTATCCCCTTTTCATGTCCAGCAGAGAAAACACCTTGCAGAAACCTAACTGCCTTTTTTTTGTCTCGTTTAGTTCTGTATTTCTGAAGAGCTTTCCCGGGTGATTGAGGAAAACAGCAAACCTCAGAGGGCAGAACGAAGTGAGATGGCAAAGTAAGGTGAGTTCAGAAAAAAGGGGGCACTGTCTGTGAATGCATTTGCACAGCTGGAACAAAAGCTCAGCTCCTGCAGTGCCCTGAGCCTTACCAGAGTGGCCATTGTTGGTCATCCTGAAGTGGCCCTGCAGGGGCCCTTCGTAGCCAGCGAGCTCCAGCTGCAGCAGGGGGTTGTACCTCACCTTCCTCCTCTGGATGTCAATCGGGGACTGCTGCTTGCCAGCACAGGCTGGGAAGTGCTGTCCCCAGTGCTCTTCATCCAGCTCTCCTTCTCCTGCAGGGAGGCAAGGCAAGTGGCAGGGATGTGCTGGTAGTCAGAGTCAGAGCACTCTCCTCATTTGCCAGCAGGAAATGCCAATCTAATTATTGTAACGCCAGGAGCTGCAGCCATAAAAGGTTGCTTTGCCTTCCCCAGAGTGAAAAGTCACATTATTGTGTGTGCAAAGTGAGAAAGCTGCATTGCAGCAGTGGCTCAGTGATGGCTGGAGGCTGAACCTCCACCAAAAGAGGAGCAGTGTTCACATGGAAATGGGGATTTAAATGGGTCCCAGGTGCCAGAGGTGTAGAATTGGCTTCTTAACCAGTGGGAGTGAATAGGATCAGGGCTGTAGGCAGGAAGGCTCAGCTTGGGATCAGGAACTGACAGCAATTAGCTATTTTTAACTAGGGAGAGAGCAATTGCAATATTGCTACTCTTCAACAAGATCCTTTGTTTTAACTTAGCCCACTGAAGATCATAAAAGGATTAACATTTACTTCAGTGAGCTCTGCAAACCACCCCCGACACAAACGAAATTTGGATAAAATTTCACAAAAAAATTATAAATACCTAAATAAGTACTTCTCAGTGCTCTGTACTGCCTGGGATATGACAATAAAATAAGAAGCAGGCAGTATTTAAAGCTTTTCCTTGCAGGATCATCCAAAGGGCAACTTTTCTTCTAACACATACTAAAGATTTCCCCCATTGTTTGAACCTCGTTGTGCTGCCAAGCCTGACAATGTGTCCTAACCACACAAAGGAGTAAAAAGAGGTGACATTGAGGAGAATCACTTTCAAGACAGGGAGGCATCAATAAAGTGGAATAAATGAGCTGCTCTGTGATGTCTCACTGGGGGACAGCAGCACAGAAGGGAAGGGAACCTCTCCAGCAGCAGCAGCCCCACACCAGCCCAGATTTTACCTTGGTACGTCCAGGACACCTCGTGGGAGAGGGTGAGGGGTGGCAGGAGCAGGAACAGGAGCACTGCCAACAGCATGTCTGTGATGTACCTGCAGCCAGAGCCAAGGGGAGTGATGCTTTACCAACCCTCAGCTGGCCCAAATGCTG